CCAATCCGAGTAACTAAACGCAGTTCAAGGAAATCAATTTCGTAAGAAATACCAATTTAAAGATTCAATCATTTCCTTTGTATCTTCTTACTAAAGTTTCTTCTTAAAGTTTTTAAATGAAATTTACTTGAAAAATATTTTATAAATACATTTGTATGTCCGTATGGTATTTTAAATTCATTAAAAATTCAAGCAATAAAATTTGTTTAAGACAATCGCAATAAGACAAGTAAATTTCGTTTTATACTTCTCTTTTATTACGCGAACATTAAATTGTCTCAACATAAAGTGTCTTAAATCAGAGAAAAAATTCGACACTAATTTTTTTGAACAGTTAGTTATACTCTAAAAATAGCGAATATTTTTAATAATTCAAAAAAATGTATAAAGCAAAATAGGGTAATAAATATATTTGACCTATTTAATACTCTCGAAAACCCATAACTTGAATTGGGTAAATGCTTTTGTTGAGTTGTATTGTTTCTGTTGAGCCAGCAATACGATCCGAGATGGCGGTCCAAAATGGTGCTGATTGCTCAGTTTGTTTGCCAGCAGCTTATTAAAGTAAGCACCTGCTACAAAGCTACAGACCTAGGCGAAATGGTAGAGCTGGATCGTAAAGTCGAGCGGCGACACATATGAATATTGTCGCCTTAACCGCAGCTTAATGACTCTGGCTAAGTGTGCAATAAAAATGGATATGGGTCATGTGGCATGTGCCAGTGACTTGACTACCTTTAAGTCGTATCAATTTCCAGCCATTCCCAGTAGCCACTGCATCACATGACACCCAATGAAAAGCCATCGAAAGCATGTTCAATGCCGAAAACTATAAAGAATGCTTATTAGCATTTATCATTCTTTCCATTTGGCGATGGCATATTTCGGGTCTAAGCACGTACTGAAAGGATTGCAGCTTTAGTTCAGGTTTATGCCAATATTTATTAGCCTGCCAATAGTTTTCCTTTGACTTGTAATTTAATTAGGAACAAATTAGCAAGATTTCCATTTAACTATATTGTAAGAGAGAAAATTACACCATAAAATAAGCCAAACTAACACCTTTGGCAGTTGCAAACTTGCCCAGAGCCCAAAGCTTCATGAAGGCAGAAAATCGAAGCGGGCTTTTGGTCATTTGCACGTTCTCCCAATTTACATTAATTGGATAGTAAATCCCTGGGCCACATAACTTTGGTTACCAATTAGCAAATTCTAAGCCGTCTAATCAGCAACTTTCCGGACACGCCAAACCTGATCTATATTTCTAGTTGGCCATGCAAATCGAAACCAGCAAACATTAGTAAGTAGTTAAGTAATATGAAAAGCAAATATTATATGAGCTCTTGACAGGCGTGTTCTGGGAAATTTTAAGGCAACTTTAAAATAACGTTCACACAAGTTCCATGAAACTAAGTCTACAGATGCTTAAGTTGAGCCTTCGGGGAATCCCATAGAAATGGGGGAGGGATAAGTTCATATAATCCACATAATTTCACAGGTCATTGCACACATTGTTACAACCGGCGTCAGGATGATTCAGTCACTTTTCAAACACACTATTCAGCACTCATCTACCATGATTCCAAATATATATTATATATGTATGTATACTGGGAACAAAGCAAAATATGATAAATACGAGCCCAACAGACATGTGAAAATTCAAGTTTGTGGCCCTAAAAAAACCAATAAGAATGCTAAGGCAAAGCGGAGAACCAAAAGCCGTTTACCTGCTCAATTGGCCATGGTATTCTGTTCTGGCCAAATGTTTGTTTCCGAGCCTCGGATCCCCAATTTGAATTTCTCTGGTGGGCCCCCTAATTCTAACCCATTTAGTGACCATCAGGCAACATCAAAGCCAACTGGCTCTAATCTGAAATTATTTAATGCTAATGCACACCCGGTATTTCTGGCTTGAAAGGGCACGGGGGCTAATTCCAATTATACTCGTTTTCAATTTATGAATTCCGCGGGTGGACGGCGGTGGCCACAGGCCACAACGTCACCTCACTTTGATTAGCGGATTTCTTACGCAAAAGAATTCCGCTGGACGCTCGACACACGCCCACGCAATCGCTATATCGCGGCAGGAATCGCTCAGTCAATTGCCATATAAATCTTGATTAAACGTGGAAAGACAAAAGGCGAAAAGGTGAAAATTGTCAACGCCGTGGCGACTGCACCGCTACTCGGTATTTTCGTGACTTGGCGCTGCGCTTTGCATAATTTCCAGTCGTACCCAAAGCACTCATATGCGTCCATTCTCATTCTTATTCTCGTTCCCGTGCCCATTCACATTTTCATTCCCATTTCCGCCGTGGCCTGCAATTTCTCAATGCACTGGAAAAAATCTTGTCAGAAAGTGATTCTAAAATATTACACCAAATGATTAGGCCTATTAGTTAAGAGCAATTGAATCCACTGAATGGATAAGTCAGAATCACTTCTTTTTATAAGACAAAAATCTTTACAAATTTGTCATTAACTCTGGGTTCCTACTTTACATTTAATTATTTACCAATTAACCCACTTTTAAAATATGCTTACTATTTTGAAAACTATATTTTGCTGAGTGCTCAAAATTTTGATCATGTCCTTTTTGGCCAATACATATAAATATAATAAATATTTATAAATATTTAGCCTTGTTTGTTTATATTTTTATATCTACTACTCGTTTTTGTATTGAATCCTTTTGTTTTATATAGTTTAGTAAAAACACCAATTAATGACTTTGTAATATTACAAGAGCAACCTTCCTAGAAAAGACTTTTTTCCTAATATTTTTGCATATATTAACGAATCATGACGGTATTTTGTTCACATTCAACTTCCAGAAATAATGCATTATTTTTAGTGTGCCGCAGTCTAGTCACCAAATGGCATCCGTGCACTTTTTGGTCGATTGTCTAAGTCGCTTTGTCAAGGTTCGCAAGGTCAATGATTTATTAGTTTATTTGTTCGCCACTGCGTTGCGTTCTGTTGTGATCTCCGGTTCGTTGTGTTGCTTTCTCCGCATATTTTGGCATTTTGTGAGCCCATTGTCTGTGGCTGACAGCCAAAGCACTGGGATCAGCCAGCTTTAGCGCCAGTTGAGCCGCAAATCCAACGAACCCCCGCCCCACCCATAACCCACACAGCCAGTCGACAATCATTAAGAGGAGCAGTGACAATTTGAGTTGCATTTCCATTAGTCGGGCTGTGTCAATGGCTTGGCAAATGGACAAGTTAATCGGGGCATGTGTTCCGTTCGCCTATATGCGCTCCGACAGCGACCAGCTGAGCCCCGCGGAATCCAGTTCAGTTCTATATACCCATACACTCGGATGCACGGCGGTGTGGCCTATATAGGCCACGACCTTCAAATGCAACCCCATAAAAAATGTTTAGGGGTTTCGGGGTGGCAGGACTGCAACCCCAGGTCCAAGATTTCAGTTGCCAGGCGCGATTTTGAGTCACATTTGCAGCTGCATTTCATTCTTTTACGGGGTTTTCTTTTGTTTGCGCAGGTTTCATAACTTATGAAATTCATCAGCATTTTCTGGTACTCTAAAACCTTTAAATAAATAAGAAACCAAGAAATTCTCATGGTTTTAAAAAGGAAACCACCTTGTTTGTAGGACTTGTGTTGCTAGGCATATTTTGATTACTAATTTATCCAAAAATATCAAATTTCAGGAGGTCTTGCTTCTCGTTTAATTTTTAATATTTGTTGATTTAGTTTAAAGGTTTAAGGTTGCAAACAATAAACCATTCTTCCTGGTAAAAAGAATTACTCTGCTTTTGGGAATTAACAATTAAATGGTATTTGTAGAGTTTATTAAATAATAACATTGTTATTGTTTTCTGAAGAACTTAATAAATTTCAAGAGCTGCAAAGTATTACACGCGCTTAAATAACTTTGATGGCTCGCATGTAATACACAATTTGTTTTTTGTTCACTTTCACTCTGACATGTACTTTCAAGTGCACTTATTTTAGTTTTTCCATTTTAAAATTATTTTAAAAAAATTTGAGGCTTTTGATAGAAAACTATTTTTTGTTCGTAAAATTGTTATACACAAATAAAACCCATTTTATTTATGCACTTTAAGTTTATTAGCTAAAGCATTTTTAAAGCTTTTCAAGTGTACAAAATAAATTAAGCTGAAAGTAAATTTATGGAAAAAAAGAACGAAAATCCACGTTTTTGGTTTTGTATTATAAAGAAAACCTCACTATACTTGAAAATTCCAATTAAAAAGCTATTAATTCTGAGTAGCTTAATAAATTCAAGAAAGCACTTAAAATGTAAAATAGTATTCTCAAGGGACTGATAAAAACATTACCCGACTAGATTGGAAACAAAAAATAAAAACAAAAAACAACTTTCGACTATTAAATAGCGAATTCTAGTGCCAAAGATATGCGAACCCGATATATGAATGCTCCCCATCAAATGTCAACTGACCGCAATCCCAGCTGGATGATTCTATTACAAAAGACTTGAAGATAGTCGTCATAGAATTTCAAAAAGGCAGATGAGTGCACCGAATATTTATTTCCCTATTAAGTGTCACAAATATATGGAGATGAACGAGAGCACTTGCCAAAGATAGACGGGACCGGACCCGGAAAACTGGTAATGGCTTTCAAGTTCAAGTGCATGGCAATCACTTACAGAGATACTAAAAAATGGGTTTATGTGCGTTTCGCGGGAGCAACATCTTGGAAAAGCGATTTGATAAGACAGCTGACCAGTGAGATATTTTAATATTTAAATTATAGAAGGGAGGCAATCGGAACAGAGGGTATGCGAAGAATTTGGTTTAAAAGCTTTCATAATTAAATTGAGTGCGGTCGCGGAGGGGGGGTTTATTAAATTACTGCAGGGCGAATAGACAAAAGAAACCCAGTCCACGCAAACAGAAAGATAAACAAAGGCAATACAGCTGGTCGAAAAAGCATAGCCAAAATGTACACGAAATTAAAAATGTATTTTTCAGCTTTGCAAACTCACCGAAACTCAAAAAATTAATATCCAACTGGAAGGTAATTAATAAATTTGTTCTGCTCCTGCAGATGTGTGTGTGTGTTGAATTGCCAGTAATTTATGCACTTTTCACTTTAAACACTTGTACACATTGGTAAATATTTACCCTCGCCAGCGAAATTCGAAATCGGAAAACGAAAACGAAGCTCACTTGTGGTTGGGCATACAAGTAATTATTTTATTATCAGCGCTGCGGATGAACTGTAAGTACTTGAGATTCGGGTGAATTCCAATACGAGTCGCAAGACCCACTTAAAATTCCCCAAAAGTACTTTTGCACAGTCACAACAAATTGGTTTGTACAGAATGGGCACTTCAATGGAATTTAAACACTAGCAATTGCATTTGCATTTACAACGATGTTCCGCTTTCTCGCACTGCAAAACGTTTTTTCGAGCTAATTAATTGTGTTCCAGTAGGATGAACAGCCTAGGATGGGTATATGGATTGTTTCCTAGGTGAGGCAGATACATAAACTGTGCTTTGTATCTCTCGGATGCGCATATACTTTTGTATCTTGCACTCTTAAGCACCTGCCTAGAGGGGCCTGTTTCGAAAATAAATATCCAGCACCGAAAATAAACGAGTCCAGACGGCCCAGTGTTTACTTCTTCGATCGATGGATGTTTTTTGGGCGCACAAACGTGGCAAGTCTCCAATTCCCGATTCCCGATGAGGAGCTATAGCTATCCCAAACGCACGTGCAGAGAGTCTACGAATGACTGAGGCAAACTAGCGCCGCGATCGCCACAAAATATCAAAAGCGGCGGCGAACGAACCGAACCGAATTCGCCGCCGCCGAATGCGGCGAACAAACAAATGCTGGGTTACCAAACGACAGCATAACGGACCTATATACCATATAGCAAGATCGAACGAACACAAGTTCACCCAAACATGCGGCATAAAAATTCCACTTCACACACGCGCAACCGGAGTTCGCTGAGTTTGGTATCGTATCTGTGAGATATCTGGAGTTCTGAAATTTGGTGGTGGCTTTTGCACCCTTAAAAATGTTTGGTATATCGCAGTGAGATAGTACGCTTCGAAAACTCATACCTTCGTGCTTACAACTGAATGAGTTGGAAAATGACTCAGGTAGTTGTAACCAGAACTTGGTAAGTGAGTCGTTTGTATGCATTTGGATACACTTCAACCGTTACAAATTCAAGTTTATCACCTTAAGAAAACTTTTAAGTGGAGGGAATATATATAATCATTACTTTTGAAACGGCTTTCCAGATAGTCTGGGTTCTATTCATTAAATCAAAGTATTAATGATAATAAATACTCTGAGAAATAAGTTAATTAATATTAAGATGCTTGTATTTTAAAAACATTGAAAATATTTTTTTTTTCAATTTTAAAATATTTAAATTTTATTTTACTACTACATTACAGTCAAAAGAAGCTCCAAAAGATAATTTTATAAACTTGACTGTTTTTGTCACCATTGACTTGCTACAAATATTTACCAACTGATGGCAAATACAAAAGAGAGATATTGCCATATGACACACCTTTGAAAAGGGCAAATATTTTGCCATGGAGCTGGATGACAATTGGGGAATCCCGAGAGGAGGGTAGCAATCAGAACCGGTTTCTTTGTCAAGTGCATATGCTATGCAAATATTTGGAGGTGGTGATCGCCAACGGAGGCCAATGGGTTTCATTAACTGGCAAGCACATTAATATTGAGTACCTCCAATAAATGGGTGTTCGCTATCTAGCATTTCAAATGTTTTTATCAACGATAAGAAGGGACTCCGGATACCGGCATACATATACAAATACCTAGAAATTTAGCCTACAACCCACAAAGTGGGTAAATGTAACTCTGTGAGACCTTGGCTCCTTATCAAACAAACACATTGGCCCACTTTATTGATTTTGTTGTGCAAAGAAACACCAAATAAGCTAATAAAGATTGAAAAAAAGTTGAAATGCAGCAGCTTATTCTAATGGTCTTTTAAAAGTTGTTCAGTGAATGCTAGTCTCTTTGAAATGTTATTTTCTCTTTTTTGCACAACCTTCTTCCCAAATCAAACCAAAACTGATTTAAGTCCCCTGTGATTCATTTTCAAGGAGTATATGATAACAATGCAATTAGCTTTGAATCTATAAATTTATGCACCGCGTTCAATATCAGTTTTGATTTCTCAAGTGGCAATCACGTTTGGACTGCCTATTAATAGACCATTCGATCGAAATGTAATTTGGGTTGACTTAACAGATTAGCGTTGGTTAAATTTATGAGGTCTTCGCAAATATTTACCGACGGCGCTAGCACCTCGCAGTTATAAAATAATTAGCGTCCATTTAAAGGCAATTATCACACAAACACTCATAGGTTCACGCCTCGCGTTGTTTAGTTATTCTTTTCGATGGGTATACATCATGCGAAAGTTGAATTATGTGGCCCAATGTTGCGCATACGCCATGTGTCAAACAAAAGCCCCGTGACAAGTCATTTGCCAAGTGTGGGTGTGGGGTGCTGAAACACAACTCAAGGCGTATAGGAGAGTAACAAAAAAAAAACCAACATGCACGAGTACTTAGATCAAATGATTTAATTAGCACTGGCCCCTCAATTGTGTTCATTTTAATTACATATATGTATTTTATCAGCCGTCAAAGCTTACGGCTGCGATAGCCCCAAAGGAGGAGCCAAGCTGTCGTGGCCCATGTGTCAATAAGTCAAATGATGTTAATTAATTGAGGTCGATAGCAAAATGCTCTGCAACCGACAGCCTGCCAATGGCGGATGGCCCGGCGTAATTACCTTAAACGCACTGTTACACAACCTAGAAATCCTCCAACTAAAATACGACCTCAAGACTAATTATTTAACTTAGCTGTCCACGGGCCACTATCGTCAAAATGCGACGCAGTATTGACAAACGACCTGAGGGAATTTCCAGCAATTACTTTGTGTGTAAAAGAAAATGTATAACTTTAATCACTTAGCCGAACGAAATACAGTGACATTGTTATTTACTTACTGAATGTTATTCTAATAATTCACAAAAAATCAATACCAAAATGCTTTACCCCGAGGTAGCAATTTAAACGTTCTGCAGATAAGCCCAAATCAGCTTGCCTTAAAAATATAACATTGTCACATTTAAAAGACTTTGGATTCCAAAATTAAATAGCTTTATCGTACTTTCATCACACTCTTTGAACTATCAGCAATTAACGTTAAGATAATCAAAACAATTTGGCTTTATGCACTACCGTCGAGTTGTTGAAGTGGTGCTGTGCTATCCGATGGGCAATGCTGCCAGGGCGAACTAGCTGCTGCTGCAATGCATCACCGTAAAGCTGCACCAGCGAAGGCTCCTGTTCCACGGGTTCCAAATAGGCAGACAAGCCGCCCATTAGCTGTAGAAATGAAATATACTCAGAACTAGGGTATCGTTATTTAAATCCTTTTTTGCACTCACCAAACTCTCATCGCAGTTTATGAAACGCACTGCCTGCACATGTTCGGACCAAAGACGCCTTCGCCACTTGTTATCGTATTTTTGTGCTAATGGCAACAGCACTAAAGAACTGAACAGCTCATCGCCATAACTAGCTGCCTCGAAGTGTTCCACAAATAGATAGTAAAGCGGCTCAAACCTGGCCTTATCTACCAGCTCCGCTTCAAAGTCAAAGTCATGCGCGGCATTCTGCTTGTAGAAATCCATAAGGCAATCCCGAAGCAGCTCATGCAAATCCGGAGCAAGAAACTGGGAGTCGGGACCCATGAAGCTAATCATCAGATACATTAGCTTCTCCAGCGGGCTTACAATCTCCAAGCCCTCTTGCTCCAGTTGCCGCACGAATGTCAACGTCATGCGCACCACCTGATTTTCTGCTCAGAAAGAAAAATATTTATTTTTCCCAAGAATAGCAAAGTTTGATGTGTGAGTTCTTACCTGAGAATATTGCCGCCGGTCGCTGCTGCACATTTTGCAAGTAATTGCTAAGGATAAGCCGCAACTGGAAAAAAGGCCAGTCGGCGGGCAGGATGGGTGCTTGGGTATAACTCAAGGATAGGGAAGGCTCCGAGTTGTCCTATAGGCAAAGCAAAAAAAACCATAAGGATAAAAGAGAAAATATATAAAAATCTATCTAAATCGAGAACAACGAATAAAAAGTCACGTTAAATTAAATCTCTTAAGTATTCAAAATAATGATGATTATTAAATTAAATTAAAGTGATATTGCATCTTGTATTTTTGTTCATTTATATGCAGTAAACAATAATTTTTTAAATAAGAATGAGGTTCTAAGGTAAAAATGCGTTTTTCCTTTTTAAAATGTCAATAAATACGTACAGCTATTATATGCGGATACACAATTTCCAGGCATGTTTGCTGCAGCAGTTTTAAGCTTGCTTCGTCGAGTTTCACGAATTCTCCATTGAAGATAAAGCGCTCGAAGGTACTCTTGATTTGGGTGGCATGGGCGGTGGACAGACAGCAGAGGTAGTTGTAGACCAACTGAAGCAACTGCCGGCGCTCAAGATAGGTCTCCATTCCGTCCGTGGTGAGCAGCTGGTGGATGAACCTCAGCTCGGTGCGGGCAAAGAAATTGGTGGCCAGGACGCGGTTCAGCTGGGAGCTCAACTGGCGCAGATACTCGGCCAGTGGCTCCAGCACCGGTGGTTGCATAAGTGCCGCGAACAATGGCTTCTCGCCGCTCTCCAGCGAAACGGTGAGCAGGGCCCAGAGGTTACTCAACAGGTGCACCGGATACGTCTCACTGACAATAAGCTGCGGCCCGTAGTCGTGCATCAGCACTGCGCCCACATTAGGCAACGCCGCATGCACGTGGCGCCGATCAACAGGGCGTCGCAGCATTACGGAACCCTTGCTGCGAAATAACAATTAAAAGTTATTGAATAAGTGGCTTCCATGCTTAACTTACGCCAGGTCATGAACGATTGCTATAAACCCACTGGACTGCACAAATTTAGGCAGTATGCTGCGCAGAAAGGGCTGAAAACTGGTAGTTCCTAAAAAGCCACTTCGAGAAAACCAGGAGACGGCATACAATGCAGCACTTAATAGTGTCATCTGGCTAAACTAGAAATACAAATGAGAACAGAGTTTGTTTTAGGATTTAAATTTAATTATAGTGTTATGAACACATTAACTATCTTAGCTTAATCTTAGAAATATCATATAAACAGTTTCAGAAATGTTTGGCAAAAAAGAAATGTCTTCTTTTGATCTTAAAAATTGAATCGTCTAGAAGGTAATCTGATAACAGAGATCAACTGAAATCACTTACATCTTTGATCTTTTCGACACGGGTAGCTGAATGCAGCCAGCTGCAGCAGCAATTGTTCAGCGGTTCCACCAGCAGTTTCTGCCCCTCGACGTCGCACATTCCGCTCTCGCCACTTGCCACCAGTGCGACCAACAGGGCGGATGCGTGTTGGCGCACCAGCCCCGATCCGCCCACCCCATCGAAAGCACAATGATTGCCATGCCAGTCCAGCAGCTGGCGAAATGCGGACTGGAACTGCCTGCAAGTGATACCAAATCATAGTTATTATTATTACTCGATTTTGAGTCTGGCTATAAAAGTGAGCTGCAGTCTAAACGAAGTTCAGTTTGATTTCATTTCTACAATGGCGTCCTGGAATTTCGGACTTCTTCTGGCAGTACTTATTGTATATGATTTCATTCCTGCAAATCAAGGAGTAAGTTTTTCACACAACTGCATTGAAAATGCACTAAGCTTCTTCCAAACAGCTGGAGTTAAATCCCATGCTAATTAAACAAGCGAAGAAACTGCAATTGCGATGCTTAAATCAGACAGGAGTCTCCATAGGTAAGTGACATTTTTAAAAAACTCAGTGATAATAAACACATACCTCCTAAATAAAAGAAAAAATGGACCAGTTGACCAAGACTAGATCTTTACCCAATGATCCAGGCCTCAAATGCTTTGTACACTGCATGTTTGACATGGTTGGACTGGTTGGTATACTCTCCTTAAAACCTTCCAGTAAATGTATACATTACTACTACTATGTTGCCCCACAGATTGACTCGCAAAACGTAGTGCACCTGGAGTCACTGCTGGAAGTTTTACCGGAGCAAATACACAACACAATCAATGGACTAGTCAGCGCATGTGGAACTCAGAGTAGGTAAATTATTTTGGTAAATATACATCGATATATATGGAACTCTCCCCAGAGGGAAAAGATGGCTGCGACACCGCTTATGAAACCATCAAGTGTTACATCGCAGTAAATGACAAGTTTATGTGGGATGAGGTAATAGTGCTACTTGGTTAGCACTCACCCACCTGAAAATATCACGATCCACGATTCCCAGGAGCAGCAGACAGCGCAGGATGCGCAGTGCCTCGATCTGAACGCGCACCATCTGGACCTGCCAATGAGATTCTCATTAAATAAAATAATTCCACAAATATATTTATACAAACATTATTATCTTGAAAGAACAAGTATTGTTGCAGCCGAACAATTAGGACTCCCTTAGAAAGGCTCTTGGCTATATCCAAATGTTGACAAATTAATACCCGAATCAGTTTCAGAAAAAGAATTTGGGGTTGACCATAAAACTGATTATTTCCATTCGAAGAGGGTAGAAAATGAGTAAAAAGTATTTCTATAAGATGACTTTCATTAGCTAACTGTCGAGCCACTTTGATACTTGTGCGAGCTATCCTTATAAGCAATTTTAGACAGGACTCCACTGTGCTATTGTCTGGTTTCACTGAGTTCAAGATAAATCTAAAAAACAGAGCTTTGTAGTAGGAACTTTTTATAATCCATTTGAATATTATTTCTTACCGAATCCTTTGCAATATATTGGTTCGAAGCAGGCATTCCATGAGATCTGTCTCCGCCAGTTGAAAGTCATCCATGGACATACGGCTCTCCGACTCATCTTCCTCTACTTCCGCGCGCACGGATTGACTTGTGGTTAGTAGCTTCATGTAGCGTTGTAGAAAAGCTATAGAATTTGTATCTGTATTTCCTTCTTTATCATCGCTGCCATTTCCCAAGACCTGAAGCGTTGGCTGCCAATGACAGTAGGCATTATCCTGAATATGATCGAGGAGCACTTCGTCCGTTTCATTATAGAATAGGTTAGCTAGAGCTCGGCTCACAACCTCAAGTTGAGCGGGGGCATTGTCATCTAGACCAAAGCGTAGTAGGAAAAATATTTTCGATATTGGTAAAGACAGTACCTGATCGTAAAAACCCTGGTTGTAGATGCTGAATATTCCCGCTATCGCTCCAAAGGCAGAAATTCTTTGCTGTAAGACAGTGGATCTGGAAAAGTTTAATTAAAGATAAGTAATCATTTTTGTTTAGCAAATTCAAAGCTCACCTTGCCAAGCGAAACAGCTCTTGAAGTGCATAGCCCGGACGATCTGCCTCCTCCCCATGTAAATAGAGTTCTCGTTCATCCAGTTGTATTGAAGTATCCTGATTTTTAAGCGTGTGAGGCAAAAGCACACCCTTCCAATCAAAACGTGCATTGAACTGCTGTCCTGGCTTCAATTCGCTTAATTTGGTTGGAATATCCCGCATCCACGCTAGCTTGTGTTCCTCCACAAGATTGAAATTAACCCAACTGCCTGCATTGCTCTGTTGCAAAAGCTCTAGAGCTGGATTTGAATGTGGCAGAGAGGAAATCACTGGACTAGAAGCTTCTGAAGACTGTGTGATTTTTGGTGGCTGTGGAGGTGCCTCAATTATCTTCGGAACAACTTTTTTTTCTACAGGTTTGTTGCTGGTTTGACGTTTCTTGGAAAGCAATACAATCAGCGAGGGATCTGTAAAAAAAATTTGCGTATTTATAGAGCAATTTAGCTTTATAGAAACGAATTTTTTTACCTAAAGAAGCAAGCAACTTTTTTTTCTCAGCCAAAATGTCCTGCTCGCTCATTTGGCTAAGGACATTTAGATTTTCTTGGTGCAGTTCTTTGCACAGTTTGGCATCTCTTACAATAGAACTTGTATCATTTTCATTTGAATCAGACTTGGTCATTGATATTTTAGGATTCTGTGAGCTTGTTCCTAAAAGTTGTTTGGCAAAAATGCTTAAGGGTTTGCTGGTGTTGACCTAAAATAAACAGAATGAATGTTAGCATACATATTCCACCATTCTTTGGATTATAAATGTTACCTGTCTTATTGGATGGAGGGCAGGTCCTGTAGATCCTTCAGTTCTTTCTACAATTTCTCCCAGTACATTGCCTAGGGAACTAGGATCTATTTTACTTCCTTTCACATCGCCGAGAATGTTTTCCTGAATTTCATCAAGCAGAACCTGGGTAACATGTGTTTTATTTTCTTTCAAGACACTTGTTGGGATCTTTTGGATTTCTTTAACTGTGGGAGAAAATTCGTCCTGCTTTTTTTCTGGAACCGAGGTAATGCGTCCCAGTTTCGCCTGCTCACGTTTCTGGGCAAACATAGACTTCTTGGGAGCTGAAAGAAAAAAAATTGTAAATAAGCAATGTATCTGGTACAATAGAAGCGCAACAATTTTACCTTTATCCACTCGCACAAAGGCCGCAGCAGGTTGGAACTCGGGATTTTTTACTTTCTCCGCATTGAACTCAGCTGCCATTCGCAGGACATCCTCCTCGCTTTCGCCTGGCTTCAGTTTTTTAAACATTTTGACCGAAAAACAAAATTAAATATTTCAAAACAAATGCGAGTCGACCACAATATGACCGCATCTTGGACTAAAAAAAATGCCGTTGAAATAAAAGTACCTAAAAATCGGTCTAAAAATATCGATATCTTTAGATCTGGAAACTTTAAGTACATTTTTAATTTGAAATTTGGTGGTTATTCCAGATTGAGGAAAAGATTAGAAAAGGTTTAAGAAAAGCGCGGGAAAAGCGCAGTTGCAAAAAAAACTGAGCTCTTAAAAGTATTTAAATAATAAGAGCCTATTTAATTAAATATTTTAATGGTAGTATATTTTGTATTGAAGTAGAAAAAACGACTTAATAATACATGCATAAGCCAGTGACAATTGTTTTTTATTTTCCCTCCTTTTTGAAGGTGGTGCCTGTGTCGGACAAACATTTATTGAGCGATTGCTGAGCAATCAGCGTGTCCTTGTGGGGCAGAGCTGCCACATGGAAAAACATCTCCAGTCCCTCCTTGAAAAGTTCAATAGCCTCTCCGGTTTTCTGGGCCTCCATAGCACGGGCGGCCTCTCTATACAGTTCCTCGGTCTTGATTAATTTCCTGACAGTTTCTTTAAGGGAGATATTTTTGCGGCAGCGAGGACAACGCACATCCTTCGCCAAGTCCTTGGGGAACTTTAGCAAGTTAACGCAGTTTGGAGAAGTGCACCTTTAATTAAATTAAATTTAAATTATTACTAAACCTTACCGATTGAATTCATTATACAATACCCACCAGAATCGCACTTGCTTGTCCAGTTTCTGGAGCAATGGCCAGTTCTCCTGGCAGGCCATACAGTTGCAACTGAAGGAGTATCGTCCTCGAAGGGTTCTCTGCCTCTCCTTGAGATTCGTTTTGATGAAAATGGGTCCGTAATTAACAGCCACAACTTCGTTGGGGCGATGTGGCTTATTGGCCGTAAGGACCAGCTTTTTTCCCACGAAATGGCAAGCAGCGCTATAAGTATAAGAAAACGTTTTGAAAATGAAATATTAAAAGTAATTAACTGTAATGCCGGTTAATAAATAATTATAAATTAAAAACGGTCAAACAACAATTTAACTATAAGACACGATTAAAAAATCAAAACAGTTTTTTCGTAAGAGAAACACAAGCTCTAAATTTTTAAATACACAGCTTGCTAGATTATCCTTTTAAGAATCGATAAATATATTAAAAAAAAGAATCACTAACTCATAATCCTTACTTACAGAAGATTTCGCTTTTAAGAGGACATGATTAGCACTTGGAATATTATATCCACAAACTAACCTGGGCCAGCACTCATGATTGAAGTAGGAACCAGTGCCATAAAGTCCAGCAGCAACTTGCACCATCCTGCTTCCATCGAATCGATGCTCCTCGGTCACCTGGGTCTGGAAGATCTGGTGGGCATTGTACTGGAGCACCTGCAGCAGACCCAGCAAGGCGGTGGCCACCTGCAGTTCCACAGCGGTGGGATTCACGCCCTCCGTCTTACGACGACCAAAGTACAGGGACTTCTGAAGGATGCGCATCAGGAAGCCAGCCATCAGGGATCGCTGCAAATAGTCCTCCGGCTGGCGCTCGTCCTCGTGGGAGCACATGTGCTCGAACAGCAGGTTGGCGGTGGCCAAGCCCTGCTCCAAACTGGGCGCCTGCGTGAAGACACGCAGGGCGATGAAGCACAGGATTGACATTCCGGAACCAATCAGCAGATCCATGAACTCACACTCGAACCTGTGGTAACTGGAACAGGCCTCACCCATGCACTGGGCCGAGCAGAAGGCGACTCCCGAGCAATGCAGGCAGGAAACAGGGGTGTGCAGCCTGTAATTTAAAAGATTTTTATATAAGTTTATTCTGGGATAATATAAAAAAGATCTTCAGACATGGATTTCATTATTGTTACCTCTTAAAGCAGTTATGACAGTGAGTACCAAAATAAATGGGATCTAGACAGGCGGCCACTGGTTCCTCGCAGAGCAGCACATCGCCAGTTCTTATACCTTCGCTGGCAACCACAAAACGACCCTTATCCTTGGTCTCAACCAGCTTCACCACCTTGGAGGCACTACTCAGTTCGGGATTCTCGCCATGTGCCAACTGAGGCACCTGCTCTGAGGAGGCCTCTTTGGGAATTGGCTTGACCGCAGCTATTTCCTTGCGACATAAGGCGATGTGAGTGGGATCGGAGCCAGACATCTTCTCCGCAATTTTTAATGAGATCTCAGCACGGGCGAGTTCGCCCATTACTGCAAGAAAATAAATATTAATAAGAAAGATTTCAAAGTCAAATGATAATTGTTTTTGCAAAATGAGCCTATTATTTTGCAAGATTAAGATCAATACCACGGCAGGAAATTTTTTTTTTTAATTAGATAGATATCCGATTACTTAAAATCAAATTTATTAAATTATTAAAAAATTAAAAAAAAGGTTACTTTGTTATGACCGATAGTTTTTAATCTATAATTGAAGAGCGAATAAGCGAATAAGAGATATAAGAGGTATAAGGCATATATGTCATATATGATGTTATATATGTCATCCATATACATTTTGTGAAAAAGAATTCCAAATAAACTCTGAATCTTGAATACTCAATCTATTAAGATTGAGAATTGGAAAACTTTCCTATTGCTACCTCTTTAAGGTCCTAAATAGTAGCTTTAAAACGGGGGAACATTTTGTTGATAAGCAGATATCTTAAAAAGAAATCCATCATTCATGGTTAACCCACCTGCATAAGCTTTGGCCATCTTGCAGTAGTAGTCCACACTGGACTTCAGCTCTAGTCCAAAGTTGGTGGCCAATTTGAGGTCACTTAGGGCAGCCTCCCCCTCGCCCAGTCGGATCAGAATGGAAGCCCTCGACCTGTAGGCCAATGCCAAGGAGAGGCCATCATCAATGACGGGGTCGGCGTTCCGGTCCGGAGCCCTCATCACGGCCAGATTGGCGGCCATCAGAGCCTGCTGTATCAGTTCCCTGCTCTCCTCGCCCTCGCCATTGCCACTCATCAGGAATAATTTATCCGCCTGGGCACGACGTTGGGCGGAGAAGAGGGCATCCTTCTGCTTGAAGACGGGCTGAACATGCTCCAGAACGCCCAGCACGGGATCGCACACCTCGCGATCGCTGAAGATCGACAGAACCCGAGCCGCATTGGACTTCAGTTTGCCAAAGTAGTTTCGCAGCCACTTGTCACCACATGCATCTCGCACATCCACGCAGAACTCGTTGAAGAATCCCCTTTTCTCCGACTGGACGGTCTGCGCGGAACAGATCTGATAATAAGTCGAGTCAAACTCCATTATTACTCCAAATTATGTAAAATCTTAATCAGATTTTCAGTGCAGCGGATGAAAAAATTTCCCCGTCCGCGTTTTCCGACTGAGTATTGAAAACAGCTGGCGGACGTTCCCTCTCCAAAAATAGCACCGATCTTTCAGTTCGCCGCATTATAAATACTCGGTATTAAGTTCTGAACTAGATCAGCAGTCATCGGAATTCACTTTCGATATGTTTTTAAGATCTTATTTATTTTCGAAATAAATACACCAACATCTTAATATAGTTATTTAGTTTCAATTAACTTTATTCCACTTAAAATGCCAGCGATCAGTTATAAGATTTATTTTATTTGTAACTGGAATCGAGCTTATAAATCACATTAAATAATTTATTTAAAAATTAGCTAAACGTACAAAAATATAACAATATGTATATCAGAGTATTTATAGTTATATATTCGTAGTTAAATATTTTAAGTATATTTTCTTCGCCTGAAAAATATTTAAGTTAAGTTTAAATTTTCATTAATTTTAAGATTTTCTCATGGACTAGATAGACTTTGTCAACCATTCGTTTATCAGCTTGGAAAGACCTTTAAGTAAAGTAGAAGAGTATTTTTTAACATTGTTCTGTATAATAACAAAAATCGATTATAGATTAAACTTAAATTATCTCTGACTAGATGAATCAGAAAATCCTGTGGAATTGAGAAACATAAGACTAATAAATTATAAACAAATTTTGTGTTGAAATTTCATTTTAATTATCGTATTTATTTGCTCGAATAATGTTTGCATGGTTTTCAATGATCAATTTCAGTTAAATAGGTCAAATGATTAAATGTGAAAGATTTCATAAAAATGCGGTGCTGCCATAAAGCGTGTTTTGGGATAATGAAAAATCATATTTAAAGAGTCATTATTTTTACTAAAGACGTACAAAATTCAATTGGCTAATTAAGAGTAAGGTACAGATTATACATATACTTTTAAATTCAGAACCGTTACAATGTTTATAAAACAGGATTAACTTAAAATTGTTTGGGTTTGCGTTAAGGTTCAGATTCATATGATATATTAAATAAATTACATGGTGTGTGGATGTTGTGTTTGTTTTGTTTGTTAGCTTTAGTCACAATTAATCTCGTTGGCTTCAATTGCAATACGATCTAAGAGAAAGTGTTACTAAACTTAACAAATAAAATGCTAAAAAATTTCAGCCTCGCCGCCGAACTTGTTCAAGACTGCGACAGCTCCGAAGCTTACAAGTCGGTATTATAGTAGATATATGTATATGTGTATATTATAAACTATTATCATCACATTGTAAACGTTAAGTGTTTCTCATTATTTTGTGTAATCCATTAATCTAAGCAAAAACGAGTACATCGTAGTTTTAATGTCTTTTGTGTTTAAGCTTAAAACGCTGCCGAATATCCATCGATTAGGTTTCTGATTCCCTCACATTCAGCCTGCCTCGCTCACTCTGATTTACGCTTTTTCTCTTTCGAAAGCAGTCGGATAGGACAAACTGAAAACCCGTGAAACTTTTCAAAGCCGGTTCCGTTTTTGGTATGTGTGTTTTTAGCAGTTTACTGAGTGCAATTGCCCTCGAAGTAGCCTACGTACATTTGTTAATAAATTAGCACTTAAGAGATAGAGTGGCCTAAACCTACTTGTAGGTCGCAGGATGGCCTAAGAAATGTGTGGGATTAGCTCGCATCATTCACGCGCCAAAATGTAACATTTTCGCCTTCGCATTTATAAATAAATTAGCCATAGTATCACTTATCTTGTATTTTAAGAAAATAACCAAACTAATTCAACTATAGAAACTTAAAAAGGATAACCCAGAACATGGAAGAGGCCTGTTTTAGTTTTACACTTAAGGAAAGCAGCACGAGACTGTCTCAATGCAGCAGAGAGCGAGTGGCGGGCGGGCCGACTTAACCTACCGCTACTACTATACAATATGGAGCACAGCGTCGGCAGGATCACCAGCCGCATCCCCGGCCGCAGCCCGATCCGCCCTGCAGAGCGGAGCCACAGCCGGGCGACCGGGCCGAGCCGAGTTAACCTGATCGGAGCGAGATTAAGGCAGACATCTCACGACATCTTGATGCCCAGGGCGCGACTCGTGTACTCGTAGACCACGTAACTGATGGACACCGCCGGCAGTACTTTGAGGAAGTTGGGCGTAATGCCGCGGTACAGCCCCGTCAGTCCCTCCTGTCGCACGATCTTGCGGAACAGCCCCGTCATCGTTTCCTCGCCACTGTGCGCGTCGCTGCTCTTCAGGGGTATCTGGGTCTTCCGCTTTTGGTTGGCAATTGTTTCGGCGGCTGCAATAGAAAATGGGAAGATAATTATAGCATTACGATAAATTGATAAGAAATATGGAACCACTTTTCATTATTATCTACTAGACTTTGATTAATTTAAATGCCAATAACTATATAAGTATTGATAACTAAAAGATTATTAGTACCGAAAAAGGTTGCAAAAAGCACTACCGTAGTAGATGCCCCAATTGATTGCAATTTCTCACCTTGAGCCTGTAGCCGAGTGCGCACCAGAGCCAGCGGGTAGGAGCAGAGCTGACCAAGTGTACTCGATGTACTGCCGCAGGCCAGAAGAACTAGGAAGCTGGGCTGCTCGTTGTTGTCGTGGTTGGCGATGTACCGTCGCTTTAGGGTTTCATATACCGCCAGATCAATGCCGGCATAGGGCAGGATTCCCAGGATGTTCGGCACGTAGCCGCGGTAGAAGCTGCGAACTCCCTCGTGCTTGTAGATCTTGGCCGCGGCATCGGCAATGCCCGCGTACTGGCCCGTCTTTCTGAGCGCCAGGCGCGTCTTTAATACTTCCATGGGGTAGATGATGGTCTGTGAAATTCCGCCTGCCGCAGCGCCCGCGTAGAAACGCTCCACGATGCTCATCTGCCGGCTGGCATCCTCTCCGCGGATCAGTCGCTTCATCTGTTCGTAGGCAGCAAACTTAAAAGCTGTTTCCGGGGCAATCTTCAACACATTGATGCCATTGCCCCGCCACATGCTCCGCGACCCGCCTTCATTCAGCATGATGTGCATGCACTCTGAGATTCCCATTCTTTGCGTTTGTACCTGGTTGAGAGAATTCCATTGTTAATACTTCGATGGGAAGGTTATTTGTTGTGTAAGACTCACTTGCAAGTACACTTTAATTCTGTCCAGCGGCGCTGTGCATGTCCGGGAAACTGCTCCGGCTATGCCACCCGCCACCAAGTGTCGCCACCAGAGGCCCGTCTGCATCTCTTTCTGTGTGAAGTCATCAGGTACATTCATATCCTCGCCAATGTCGAGGTACTGCAATGATTAAAAGACTCATGGTTAAAACAATTGAATACGATAGTTTTGTGATTATTAATCTAGGACTATTCTAATCTATGTAGATTGGAATGAAAGGCTACTAAGCTATTTCAATAAGAATATATCGGAGTGAGAAATGAAAATAAACAGAGATATTAAAGAAATACGATTAAACAATATTAAAAATTGGGAGTATTATAAAAATGAAGTGAGCTTTTCTACCAGAACTTCTTCGGTACGGTGACATCCTTGGACTTCCTTCTCAACTTTAACCCAATGCTTGAGAACCGCCATTTGCTTATCGGTTAACCAACGCCTGTTCTCCCTCTTAAAAATAACCAGGTAGCGGTGCTGCTGTGAGGTAATATTAAATAATAATGCCGACTGCTTATGCAGAATGCAAAAGAGTGCAGTGATGGGCGAACTACGCAATCCACACGCGCCACGTAAATCCCCATCGCCTGAATGGGAATTGCGGAAGCGGGCGAAAAAGAACGATGCAACAGCCGTAAACAAATGTTATATCATTCACATTAGTTTGGCTGCTTGTGCAAAAAAACACACATGCAGCTGTATATCTGGTTCGTGCCGCAACTATATACTTAATTTTCTCGATTTCTGTTTTCTTCAGACGTGCCCGCCTCACCGCCCCGAAAATAATTATAATTGGCTCGCCTTCTGAACGTCACCAAATGGTTGTGCAATTTGACGGATCTCTTTTAAAAAACTAACGCCGAATAGGCCGGAATGAAGTGAAATATTGTTTGTTTCTATGAATTGCACAGCTTATGGCTTTAAATCGAATTAATGCCGCTGATAGTCGAAAAGCTGTCTGAAATTGATAACAATTATCAAGTCTTGTGATGTCTAAAGCTTTCGAGCGAGCAAAAACCGAACTGAATCCCATTGAGTACCAGTAGCAGAGTTATAAAGAAAATTCGCATAAGTTCAGGGACTAAATGAAAGGTTATTACACTTTTTCCCCTCACGGCCGAGTGTCATTGAAGTTAATTTGGACAATAGGCATACGAATAATAACAGCACTAAAATGATTTGTTTATCTATTTAGCCGAGCAAGATATATCCAGTATATCCCGGTAAACACATCCGCTTCAGAAGTGCCAAATCATTTTGCGTGCTTGTCACATTCGCACGGTGACAATTCTGGAAAATACTCTTCGCAGAAAGCGATTTTAACCTTTAATCATGATGGAAAATGAGGGTTAGGTTCAATGAATGGGTTAAGTGTACTTAACAATTTAAACGACTTCAGTTTGCACTCATAATTAGCGACTAGCAATCACATGGGACCCATTCAGTAGATTGTGGGAATTAGTTGCTCATTTAACAGAATGGAATATTAATCCAACGCAAAAAGAGCGATGGAAATTTTACGGAATGTAAATTGGCCTCTTGATGCAACGTAATTTCTGATGGAACTTATCATTTCCGAAACGATATACATATTGTATATATATATACCTAGTCACATGACTGCGAAGAGCTTTTTTTATACACAATGATCTATTTATACCTAGCCGTGAATTTGGCGCACAAACGTGGAAATGACCGTGAAAGGAGCGTGGCACTGGTCGAAAAGTAAACAGGTTAATAGACGATTAACCTAGGTTTTTAAAAACCATGAATGAGTGATCATTGATTGCAAAGAAGCACTTACAAGCTTTTAAACGCCTTGGACTAATACAAATTCAAGGCGACAACGCTTGAATGGTCGATCAAGAGAGATATGAAGGCTATCGGTGTCCGATATCTGGGGTTTTTTCAAGGCATG